TAACCACTGACTTAGCACACTATTTCTTTTCATCTTCTAGAATGAATCCCATATTACCTCACAAACTATATTCTTCTTCAACCTCTCCTCCTCCTTTCCTCTGTACTTGCCATTATGTAAGGCTGCAGAAACAAAAACAATAATGTATGTTTCTAAGATTTAGGCTAGAAAGACCCCTTTCACTTTCTCTCTGAAGACTTTTCCTCATTCTTTGTGAAGACTGCTAGTACAGAGAGCACTGCAATGATATATGAATGCAGAAAACAGTACAGCTACTACTGAGATTAGCGCTGGCACTTATAAACTCCCTCACAGTAAACACACAAACTGAAACAAATAAATTATAATACTTGGTATATTTAGAAGTACTGTTTACTTATTAGTTACTTCACACAAAGCCGTACACAAGTGTACTGTATTATCATTAGCTCCCTGGGTACATATCCATACTAAAAAGATATATCCATATTAATATCAAATAGGAAATCCAAACTGTGCAATGCTGGCTGAACTTATCAATAATGATAATTCACTAGTTGTTGTATACTATAACATTCTACCATACTTGTAAAAATAAATATTTTACATTATTTTTTCCATTCAATATGCAATCCCCATTTGATGTGAATTTGAATTCTCATTTGCGTCTCTATTACATACATAAGACATAGTACAGAGTACAACTGTAGCCTGTACACTTTTCTAAATTCACATTTCAATCAGTAATTTCCAAACCTTGCTCACACCTGCAGAGCTGGAGAATACAAGTTTCTAAAGGGATAAAAAAACAAAAAAAAAACATTTGACATGGAGTCAAATGGAAATGTACTCTGGGTACTCCACGGGTGGATTTGATGAAAAGGACATGTGAACCTTCCAAATTACTCTTGACCTGTTTGTTTAACGCCTCACCATCTACAAGTGGTTTGCTTCAGACTGTCAAAGGAATTGATTCAAAATGATTTGGAGGCTGATTCCTATGATGCACCACTGGTTATTCAAAACAAATCACCGATGAGCTGCTCTTGAGCAACCTACGGCGAACTTTCAAAAAATCCCAGAGAGATTCAGATCTGGCGAACCCCCGGAGATTAAAAAATACTACGACGGACTTATCCGAGTATCTGCAGCTAAGCACTACCCATAATTGTCCCACTGTGGTATACCACTTTTCATACTACAGCAGCCCTTTTACACTGGGGCTACATTGGCACGACCGATAAAACCTCTATGTTTTCAATATTCCCAAGACAACACAATCCAACAGGTTAATCAAAATGGAGTCAGGAAGAAAATGTCGTGGTGTTAACAGTTAGGTGATAATGTGAAAAATTAATAGAAATGAATATCAACAGCTTGCCCAAGATGGAGAAAAGAGTGGCGCCAAGTCCTCTATCCTCTGGTTCATGAAAGACGTAGCCATCTTCACTGTGGAACACCCCCAAAATTTGCTGCATCTCTTGGGCTTGTACTAACCCTTTTCGGCGGCTTTTGATATGTAGTTTCTAATAAAACGCACACAATATTTTCTCAAATTTTAGGGTTCACCTTTTTATTAAGTGAAAAATGTACTGCGTTCTTTGTTGGAAAGAATTGTTATATACAAGTTGACCGCAAAATAGGCAAATCATTGCTGTAGGTACTGGAACACAACAGCAGCTGAGAAGCGAAGAGTTTGAACATTTCTGGACACCACCGTGGCAAAAACCTTGAATATTTTTTGTTGATTCAACAATTTTGGTTAATGGGTACCACATATATTCTTCAGGCTATAATTACAACAGCTCAATTTCGAATCTCAACCAGGAATTCTGGGATGCCTCACCAGTCTTTCCTGTGGTCACCAACTTTCCAAGTTTTTATTTTCAATATAAAACCATATTAAATGAAGATAAGTGTCACTTAATTTCTGGGTAAAGACAGGTGGCCCAAATGATGTAATTCCAAACTGATGAAGGTGGTATTGGGGGGAAAAAGGACATTTCATTCACACACTGATGCGGTATAGTTTGTTCCATTAATCTTTGGTCATGAAACCCAGCCAAGGTCTCAAGGATGGCTATCCCTGTGGAAATCAGGAAACAGTAATCTCATCTGGTTACAGCAGAGACATGGGTAGTCCACACAGAACACCTCCTGTTTTCTTTACCTTTAAAGTAATCATTCAAGTGAACTGCCTCTGAGATTTAATTTACTGCTCACGATACAGCGATACAGCTTTGTTGTGTACTTCCATTTTAACTGTAAAACTGAAACCGTGAAAGAAAAGTCACACTACTATTTAATATTTTTGCTCCAGGATAGGATTGTTTTATATTTGGAGAGCTCTCAATGGCATTCACACTCAGTTACAATACACTTGGTTTACATATCATCCTTTTAAAAAACTTTAAAATGTTCTATAGTGGGCGATTTTCATGAAAACAAACCAATACTGATTTTTTAAATTATTTTAGATTTAAGAAAAGAGAGATGTACCCTGAAAGATCATTAATTTTATGATACACAAGTTTTCAAAAAACTATTTTTTATAATCAACTAGATCGAGATCGTGTTTGTATCCTTACCTATACAAATGAGAAAAGTCAGATTTAGTTCTATTTATATTTTACAATTTAATATACACATATACGTGTTTAAATTAAGATGGAATTAAATTGCAGATTGCATTATATATACTGTATTTGCATACATGTATCTCAGATAAAGTGAATAGCAGGACAAGGTAATTTTTAAAAGAACAATAATTCAGATCAATTGACAGCATTGCTAACTTATTTACTGACACTAAGGTTCTTGTACACACCACAATGTGCTAGTAATTGAACTTGGGACAGAAAAATTAAAAGTTCTCATATGAAGTTCATTGCAAGCAAACAAATGATACACTTTTCCATCCCGTCAAAACTCAGAAGAATGTTTTAAAATATAGAAACAACAGCTCAACTAAATTATAACTATGCTAGTAAAATGTAAGGGTAAGTGAACTACACAATACCACAGCTGAATGTAATTCATAAGGAAGTTAATTTATCGCACTGGACAAGAAAGGAGGTGACTGTATTAGTGTGAACAAGAGTTTATTGACTTTGTCAGTAAGGTTCTATTTGTCTGAATCAGACAGCCAGTGCGATACGGAATTCTCATACGGGTTGCAAGAACAAACGTCTATGCCTCATTTATAGCACTTGCCAGCCTAGCTAAAATGTTTAATATTTTTAAGCAACTCCATGTGTCAGCGCAATAGAAGAAACTGTTGAATGTCTCCAGGAGTGCCAAAACAAATAAGGTCATGGTTTCTTTTTGAAACTCTTTAAACATTTATTTTTTTGCATGGCCACATGTCCTTATGGAAACAATTAGCAGCAGGTACCATATATTTGGGGGAAAACAAATACTTAAAGCACTGAATAAATTTGGAAATCACAAACATTTTGACTGGAATATGATACAGGTCAGGAACAGATCAGGGTAAAAGCAGCACAGCCAATTGAAGGAGTGTATCATTCTATAAAGAATATTACAAATAAACATTAACAGACTGCAGCCAAGTGGTTGTAACCTTGTGTAATTATAATTACCAACACTGACAAGTAGTTCATTGTAAAAACAACTACCAGCTGTTGTAAACAGTCCCTGTGACTGAAGTAAACAATATATATTGAAACATTCCCAGCAAGAAACACATTTTAACATGTAATTATTAAATGTTAATGATTAGTAACCAACCTAATTTGAGTATTATACTATGAGAGACTTGTTTAGACCATGTCTAAAAAATATCAGAAGTGTTTTGTGCTCATTACCTATTGAGAATGGTACAGTGGCTATCAAAAGTATTCAGTATTCACCTCCCTTGGACTTGATTTACATTTTATTACAATACAACATAGAGTGTTGATAGGGGGTTTATTACGACTGATCGACACAAAGCACTTCATAATCTCAAAATGAAAACAAAATTCTGCAGATCATCCCATATTTATTGCTAACATAAAACAGATCTCTTGTGTTGGTCAATAGCAAAAAATTCCAACTATAATACATTATGATTCCATTACTCTAACACAATAAAATGTGAAAAAGTCCAAAGGGGCTACAGCCACTGTAAGCGTATGTTTTTGCGAGTCTGCATGTTCCATGGTTATATAATAATAATAATAATAATTGCTTACACTTAAATAGAGTTTTTCTGGACACTCCACTCAAAGCGCTTTACAGGTAATGGGGATCCCCTCCACCACCACCAGTGTGCAGCCCCACCTGGATGATGCGACGGCAGCCATAGTGCGCCAGAATGCACAACACACATAAGCTATCAGCAAGGAGGAGAGCAGAGTAATGAGGCCAAATGTATTTATGGGGATTATTAGGAGGCCATGATTGGTAAGGGCCAATGGGAAATTTGGCCAGGACACCGGGGTGACACCTGTACTCTTTTCGAGAAACGCCCTGGGATTTTTAATGACCAGCAGATTTCCCTTCCAACTCGGTTCTTAATGATCTACATCAGTTAATTATTGGCTTAATTGGACCAATTTATCATTTCTTCCTCGGTCTTAAGGTGCTAGTGCTAACAAATCTGGCAATATACCAGCCCTCTAGGACGAAGACTGGACACCCCTGCACATATTCACAAATGTGACTTTTTAAGACCTTTGTACCACTCAGTATTACAGAACAATTAGCTTTTAATTTTTCAATAGAATTCTCTCTTTCAATGTGACATGAAATATACCGTATGATATTTATATAATGACATGTACATCATAATAGTTTCATTGTCATTAGGCAAATGCTGCAGTGATACAATTGTGATACACAATTAACAAAACATTAGTAAAATCCAATCATCCATCCATCTGTTATCAGATATCCATTTAATCCAGATAAGGGTCACTGCACAATTCCTGATGCACAGAGCACAAGGGGGAGAACTACACCCGAGATGGACTGCAGACAATTGAATAAATGTTTTCAATAAAATAAGGATTTCTTACTGTATTTGTTGGGTCATCTTGTAATATTGTGTCATATACTTTGCAGGCTTCATCATACCTGGGTAAAGAATTCAAATAATTACATGAAAACATGTCACATACACAGACGTACAATGCTAGAAGTGTGGGACAACACACAAAAATTAAATGAGAAGCGCTATGTATGCATATCTTAACCAACACCCTGTTATTATGAATAACTATGAAACGCATTTCACTTTAGAGCAGATTTTCAGGGTTTGGAACTTGACAGTATGTAAGAGCACTGCACCAAATATTTTCTTATGCTTTCAATTATATCCTTCAATTTGATTAATTCGATTTCCTTAACACCATTGTACACAGGTAAAAACTGTATACTTAAAACATCACCTGTATTTATCATCATCTAAAGACAATTTCTTACTTTGCTCATTTATGTCTCAAGACTGCTTCCTACCTTGTCTTAAAAGAGGCTGAAATCTGTATAGACCTATACATCTCTACTTGTTTTCAAACTTGCCTATATATAATCTCATATAACATCTACTACGAAAAGGATAGATTGTCTAATTTTAATTTGAAAACTATTTGGATCTGCGTCAATAATTCAGATCCAATCTTGTGGAAATGTACTGTAACGGCCCTGAAGCAGTACAGCATTTGTCAGTAAGACGGGAAAAGTTCTAAACTTTGAAAATCATGGTCCTAATTGTGAGCAAAACAAACGTGCTACTTGTTACATTAAATACACAAGTCAGGATGAATTCTAACTTGTTTTTATTGAAAGCAATCTGCAGCGCTTACGGTTTTACAGCCAAACAGTCCATGATCAAAAACTGTTCCGCCCGCAACCCACACAGAAGCACTCTGGTTCCCATTAACACTGAACACCAACGCTTACTATTACATTCCTCTTTCAAATTCATTTTATTACTTGACTACACATTTTGGATTTCTAATAGCAACAGGCAGAAACACAGGAAGGGGATTTGATTTTTGTCATTTAGGGCCAGGAGGCAATCTCGTGTCCAGCCATTCAGTCATTCATACGATCAGTCATGGAGCTGACATTATGTATACACTACAGTACACACTACAGCACACAATGGTGAATAACTGTATAGATGCTACAAGACAGGTGTAAGTCTAAGGGCCTAACGCTCCAAAGTAGTGTACAGTATCATCAATATTTTATGTATCGTGCTGCCAGTGTCAAACTCTTCCACAGACTGTTTTTATGTCCGATCTTTCTGAAGTTCCATTAGGAAATGGACTAGACAGTATGATAATGCCAGTTACCTTTCCAAAGCCTCAAGCCTCATGCCTGCTAATCGTTTCACTCTGTGGCTACCTTGGAACTGCTTCCGCAATTCATGTAGACAGCTCTGCAAGAAAGAAATCAAGTATTAAACCTGGCATTAGAGCATAATTCCCTGTATAGCAAATTTGCTAGCTTCCTTCCCTGCTTCTTCTCAGGGAAAATCATCCTTATGTACACTGCTAGAATCCTGATCCTTCACATCTCCAAGTAACGAAACGAGAGGCCCTCTCGTGCAATTACTTAAGATGAAAAATAATCAGTGACATTCAAAGTTTGGGCCAGCCAAAAAAAGTCAAATATTAGTCAGCCACCCACCAATTAGAGAAAAGTGTAATGTTACTGTAACATAAACCAGTAGGGAAAAACTCCTCACTAAGGAATGCAGTCTGCCTGAGCTACAGCACAAGCCCAATAATAGTGAGGCATGCTCTTAATTATGGAGCTAAAATGTTCATGTGGGATTTTCATTCACTCTTTTCTTATGGCAGTTCTGGAATGATTTCAGGTGACTGTTCCTTGATGCAATACTTCTAACAAGAACATTCCCCGCATACTGAATAGGTTAATTCAGGTAACTATACGGACTCATCTATTCCGTACTCCCCAGGGAAATGTTCAACCACCTAGGATTTCACCTTTATCTTTAATTGAAACATGGATTAACAGATGCCAAGAACGCATTTGATTAATACGGCTTTCTTGTCCGTGAGTTACGTTGGTGAGGTAAGTGCAGAGTGCCTTTTGCAGACTACAGCTTTAAAATGGTGATGATCAAATGATCTATATATACACCATATGTAAATATCAAGAATCACTCTACAGACTAGGCTATAATTCACTGGTCAGGACGACAAAGCTCCACTGCTCGATGACATAAGCTGCAAGGTCAGCAGGTAACTCTTTCCACTGCCTCTAATAGTCTGGCTGCAAAAAGACACAATAACACACTGACTGGCACAGAGCCTTGCATAGCTCATTCTTGATTACCTATATAGAAACAGATCTTTCAGTGAATTCTATGTTTGTCCATTACAATACCCTTCAGACGCTACCTGGAGATTTTGCCTTGATGAAAGGAGCACATTTCATACATCTGCCGCTGTGTTGTAGTGTACACAACATCGTCCTTTAAACCCTATACGCACACCTGTTGTTCATGAATATAAACGACACACAAGACATTAAAGCTTAAATCATAAATTAAATTAGAATTAAGTGAACTGATGTATTTTCAGATTCTTAAAGTCAGTACTGCAGTTAGATTTTAAATCTCTCTCTTAAAAATATAGGCCATTTTCATCTAATGTTAAACTGTAATGAAAAGGCTACATAAATATCCCAATTTTGTGTAAATGTGTTTACATCTGTTCCAGTGAGTTCTGAGCTAAACGTCATTTCCAAGAAAAGCAAGCAGAAGTTCACTATTAAGCATCACACCACCTGCTATAAACAGATTATATCCCATCCATCATTCTGAGCTAATGGTTAACATAAAAATAGCAGTTGCATTATACATGACAAAAATGAGACTTTCCATTGCTGTTGCGTGGGCATCTTCTATTCTACATTCTTGACTGTTAAAAGCACAGACAGGATGCTTCTTCAGAATTTTCCATTTTATTGTCTTAACAGTGAGCCCTAGGTTTTATTTTTCACAAATTTCTAATGGAACTATAATCATGTCAAATGCTTAATTCATCAAATTAAAATGAACACATTGCTGAAAATGGTAGAGGTTTAAAAAACTTTAAAAATGACAAAAAGACAAAGAGGTATCACTCTATGTGCAGATAAATGATTGTATACGTATGCATGCAATTCATTATCTGACACTCTTGGCTCAGTATTTGCATTTCAATGAAGAGAAAGCCATATCCTCTGCACAAGCACAGAAGGAACTTTCATTTTCTGATAACTATAGAGACCATTCCATCTTTTGTGCCATTCATTTATATGTATATTAAATTTAAAGCACAAAAACAGTATCTACTGTATGTAGCTTGAGCAAAAATACCAAGAAAAAAGGGCAAATGCTCCTTCCACCAAATATTGAGTTCAAAGGTCTGAATACTTAAGCAATCAATATATTTCAGTATTGTGTGGAATTTACGGTACCTTATCTTACCCTTAGCCTTCAGTTTGAGCATACAGATTTTTAATAAAATAATAGGTAAAATAAAGGTGTATGCATCAGTTTTTAATCTCTCAAAATTGGACATGAAGAAATACAGAAAATGTGTCAAAGTTCTACTGGGAGAGAAATACTGATGACATTTTAAGCTAAGCTAGGACACCTAGATAAACATGAGTAATACTTTAATTCACTTACATTCTACAATGAATCACAACCAAGCAACTACTATTTATCTGGATCTTTTAGCCAACAAACAAGAGCATCACTTGGTTTATAAGTTAAACTGAAATTTCACAAACAAAAACATCCTTTTACATGCTGCTAGTTTCCAACTGAGATCTCTTGATGAGAACCTGTCTAATGTTTTAGGATATGCATAATTAGTCCCACCTTACAAAATCTAAAGAAGTAAAGGTATTAATACACAAAGAAGAAGGATGTGAAAACAGAGTGCAAAACAGGTCTTCACATTGCCTATAAATGACAAGCCGGAATAGGAAAAAATAAGTTTGCAACAAGAAATACAGTAAATGGTGTAGTGAAATGAAAATAGGTATTTTGAGGTACTGTAATGTTTTGTCTATACAAGATTTTTTCTCTTTCTCTCATTACAGAAAGATCAAGGACCTGCCCTGTTGAGGAGTCTAGCCTGAAATTATGCATTTCTTTCCCAAAAAAGGCCATTACCCTAGTAGGAGATACACAGTTTGCTAATGTTTAAAGTGAAATATTATTCAATTAGGCAACCATGCTGTTGGGATTCCACATATTGTTGGCTGAGGCAAAAATTTCAAAAAGTTTCAAAAACATAGCTTTCCAGTGTCATTTGATCTATGTTGGGAAAACTTGAAGGCATGCAAGATCTACAGTAGGTACTGTAGATGACCACAGAGATAACATCTTGTACCCATTTCATTTCAACAATGCCATATGATTAATGGTCTTAAACACACAGTTTAAAGCATAGTTAAACCATCTCCATAGGGAAATGACTCTGACAGTTATCCAATTGATCCTGACAAAAGGGATTCATAAACTTAATATAGCTACACCTCACTGCCTTAATGAGTAGGCAATGAATGCCCATATTTCTCTAAGTCTTCTGTTCAATTTGGCTTCACACACCAACCTTGATCTCTATTTCCACTGAATTGTGGCTCACAGAAGCTACCTGATTCCTACTATGAGTTATGGTTGTTTTCTTTTGATATACAGTATGTCTAGCCATTATTGCATCTTTTTTCATTCCTTCTTATATTTGTAGTCTTTTTAAAGTTTAACAGAAATTAATATAAAATCATACCTTCCTTTGAATGATTTTAATTAAGATTCTTCTGTGTGAGTTTATGGCAATTTAGAATATTAATAGAGGTGTTTGTTATTTTTTATTTGTTATTTATTTTTAACTGTTCTTGACAACAGAACAGTTCCCCTGGTAAAAGCTGCATTGAAAGCACTTTACATCTGAACAACGCAAGGGTCTGTGTGGAACAGCATTCCATTAGATTTTAAGGATGAAAGTGCTGTAGCATTAAAAGCTTAATCAAGTCTCTTGTACATGATAAAAGTAGATGTTGAAACCTTTAGACTGATAGCAGTTAGAAGCTTGAAAAAATAATTGATGACCAAAAAATACCTAAAACAAACCACGCATTTATTTATATTTTTGAGCATTTTATATCGTGTGGCAGTCCAAAAGCAATGAAAAAAAAAACAAAATTGTAAGAGAAAAATGGTTAGGTAAAGCAGAAAGCTTAATCCTATAATAAAAAGCCTAAAGCTAGGAATAGCAAGATGTAAAACAGGAAAAAAAACTGTGGTCCTTTAACTCTGATAAAAATCAACATCAGGAAGTTTCCAGCATTTAAACTTCTAAGAAAGAGTTGTGTTGCAAAATGTCCTGTGTCATGCTTTGTACGAACATGATTACAAAATAAAGGAACAGACTGCAAACATACAGAAAACAACTGAAAGAAAGCATAATTTTCAGATAGGACAATTAGATAAAACAGAGAAATTAAGAGTTGTTTTTCATTTGGAAAAATCTACGAACCTGCACCTAAGTTCATAAATACAAAGAGGGATTAAAGCAAATCTCTTAAGACTGCTTTGCCAGCATAAGGTTTTCCACAACTCAGATAAAGTGATATTTTTGGCAGGGTGCTTTGGACCAAAAATCAATCATGTGTCTCTTCTGGCAAATAATACAACAAAGTAGCAAGGGCCATTAAAGGGTTGTGGGGTTGGTGAGGGGTGGAATCGGTTGTAAAACTTACCAGGGCCAAGTCATCCCGACTGCAGTCCAAGGCAGCTATCATCACCTGCTCATAAATTATCCAAACTGGGCAACACACAAAAAAAGAGACGGTTTCAATATGTGTTCCATTTTAAATTCAAGCTCAGTATCAAACATGATGAATTTAAACAGTGCCTTTTTCTCCCCTGTAAGTAAACTATTAGACAAAGTGAGTTTTGTTTTAAGATCATATGGAAAAAATAAATGGTGCATTGAATAGGCTTAATCACTTAAAAGTATTATAAATTACCTCTCTTAAAATGAAGAGGTAGACAAGCATGCCAGGCTTACTAGTGGTAACTGTAATAGTACTGACACTTTGATAAATAAATCCACAGATGTCGTTTTCCTGTTAAAACCACAATGTAGGTCTATTCATTATTTTTTTCTGTTCTATGCACTGACAGTCAAAATTGAGATGATCACCATGAATATGAAAGTCAGAGAAAACATACATGAAGACTTAGCTGAACAAATTGCAGACCTGGGTTATTGACATATAAATTATGACATGAGCAACTGTAAATAAATAAAACATTATTAGATTTTTAATTGTTTAATTAAACCATCATCCTTTCTGGCAGATTCAAATTTCAAAAATGTATACCATTCACATTTCTTTGTGTTTAAACGTCTTGAATTCAGATCACTGCTAATCTTATTAAACAAATCTCATTACAGCAAAATACCATTCAAAAATCCTTTTTCAGACCTTCAAAAAAAAAAGATGAACGGGTTCTTTGCCCCAACAGGTACTGTTGTCACAGTAGTATGAAAATTTACATTGTTTTTTTTTTTTGCTTTCATTGCTCGGAATTTACTACGCTTACTTTAAAAATCATCCAACGGCAAGATCAAGTAAACATAAGCAAATAAAACAGGCCTTGTCTAGTTCAAAATACATGTGGGTTACTGCAAAGACAAAACCAAATTAAGAATCCACTGATGTAGATGAGTTAATATATTGATTCTTCTTGCCTAGATTATCAGATAAATCTGAAGCATTCCTGAGCAGATAACCCACTGTTTTAAAAATAATCTGTCATTTAGCCATTTTTCTTGAGTGTTAATACTACAAATGAGAGGTGACCTGTCAGATCAGCTTGCTCATTTGCTTCTTAGTAGCCTATTCTTCCATGAGTCTTGTCCAGTCATCCATTAAAGAAACAGAAACACTATATTTCCACTTGAGGCTGACTACCTTGTCCCAGACATCCACAACTGTGCAAAGTAGTACTTCCTGGTTTCAATCCTAAATAAACTTCCTATAACTTTAAGTTTCTAGATCCTTATTTCATTGCTTATGATCCTTAGGCGGCCCACTGCCTACTACATTATTCATTTGTATAATTTATAATGTATTATGTATTTCAGCTTTTACTTCCTTGCCTTAATTTGTATATTGATGTGTAGTATCAAAATTTCAGCTGCTTCTCCACATTGTTTAGAGAAGGGGAAAGAGGAAAAAGCAGTTTGTGTCTGGTGCCTTCCACCTTATTGTAATATTTTATTGAAATCTCAGTCTTTTTTCCTAAAAAAGCTTTATAAAGTAGCAAAGCACCACATTTTTTTAAGATTCTAATTTAAGACACCATATATTTATGTTACAAGTTTTTCTTGAAACATCCGAAAGTTCATTTCTTCCTTTACAAAAGAGTGCACAATATATTCACAATTAATGATAAAGGGCCTCATAGGTGTAATAGCTGCTACATATGTACTGCTTTTACAAGACTAGCTACAGGGTGCAACTGGAAAGGGTGTACATGGTGCATCATATACCATGTGTGAGTACTAGAACATTAAATATAGTCACGTAACGCGAAACAGCTATGACATTCTTTGAGTAAATTCAATTCAGATTTGCCACTGATTTCTAGAGCTGCAAATATCTGCACAGGTTATAAAGTGGACATGAGACACACCCACTTCAAAAAAGGATGTCTACTCTTTTTTACCTGTGGATTTTTGTCAATGGTTTAAGACAAACCTGGTGAAATAAGCTCTGATCATGTTTATTTTATGATTCAAAAACCATTAACTGAAGGCTTTGATAGGTCATTTAGACAACTTAATGATTCGTTCAAGATAGCCATTAAGAGATTGGGAGGAAATAACCAAAAGAATGGTACTTATGGCACTCCAGGTTCTGTGGGCGTTAGAACGTAATCTGGCATTTAAGAAAATCAAAAAAATGATACCCAAGAAAATTCAAACTCGCTTAGAAGCATACATAGTTTAGTAGTTCTTTTTTTTTAACCAGACACAGGCAGAAAAGTACTCTAATTGAAATCAGACAATGATTGTAAAGTCCTTGGGAACAGGGAAATGAGGAGCCTGAAATAAGAAGCAAAAATGAAAGCAAAACCAATTAAACCCCACCATTTAGGGATTATGACAGAGCAGGAGAGGAATCCAAATTGAGTGCAGAGCTCAATTTGACAGAAATCCAGAACACAATTGTTCTGATTTAATCACTCAGTTAAATCAGTCCAATATATTTGGATTACAACAACAGTAGACTTTGAGGAGGCCACCCAGATTCTCAGTCCCTGCTTTCGCAAGTCACATACTAGAACAGTCCTTTCCTTCAAATCTTCTGAAAGTCTTCTGAAATAATAATAAAATAATAATGAGCTAACTGCTCACTGTAATCTGTTAACCTAATGAATAGTCCGCCATCCCTACATCGATCTGTTTTTTGTACCATATAAATATATACGTCATTTGACACACATCCAAGAACGTTTCATTTGAACCTAAAATTTGTGCACTGCTAAATAGCTTAATTAATTGTGTAGTTGTAAATGCCTCAGAAACTATTTTAATAATCCTCTGGCTTGGCTTAATAACTGTTAAGTGTTAATTGAAAAATGACTATAAAATCCCACTGAACATATCTAATTTGCCAAAACAAACAGGCTAATGGCTTATGTTTTTCATCCACAGTTTTATGATTCCAGTTCTGCTCTGGTAATTGCCTGCTTGCTTCACAGCCAGTTGTTTAAAGCTGGATTAATAAAATCAGGCTGTATAATGCACTAGGTTTTAGAAGGCTAATTGTTATTCATATCATTATGAATGGATAGGGAAAAATAATCTAGATGCTTAAAAGAGAGCTCCAAACCCTCAAACAAAAACTAGTCCACTGTCCACCTCATTAAGGAGAACAGACCAGCTTACAGGTCAGCATGAATACCAGTGCTGTTCTTTATGTTGAAAGATGTCAGCTCCACAGATAGGCAAAACTTCCCAATGAGGGAACCTCAAATTTACGAAATCCCATTGGCTCACACCGCCCCATAAACAATCTCGGAAAGTATAGGCATATAGGGAAGGCATAAGCAAACAAAAAATAGATATTTCATGCATGCAGTTAATCATTATCCACCTGGCATATTTCATTCTGACATAAAAAAAGAAACAAAAAACAGAAACTGACAACAGAACTCTAAGTGTAAGACACAATCTATTTTTTAAGTTGCTGTGTTGCAGTAGTGGTGTCTTGTACCTTTCTATGCGCTCTGACACAGCTCTATTTGATAAAGAGGTATATATGATTTTTTTTAGATTCTGCCATTTTTTGCAAATGTTGAGAGTCGTGCAGGTTTGGGGGTCTGAAACCACTCACCAATTGGAAATCTGTTACCTAGACAGATCTGAGTCACCGAAAACAAGATAGCAGTTTTCAGGGACATGGGAAGAGAAAACTGGAACAGAAGCTCCTCGGTCAGATATATTGAACCCATTGCCCTCTGACACGTGAAAGGTGGTCCATTGTGGAAAATTGCCAGATGAGAAGACCAAGAAAAAACATCAAGCTTTACTCATTCTCCCATCCTCAGGAACTGAAGAAGCAAGGCACTGCAGGTTAGCTACAACTTTACACGAACCAAACCTTGAGCAATTCAGGTCTGATCTTGAACGACTGAGCCTAATTTCTGGGCTCCGAGCAGACCACAAGTAAATTTAGGGTCAAAGGACAGTTTGTTAGATTTGAGTTTGGATTTCCTTTTAGTACCCACCAGACAGAGCATAAATCTCTGGAACACATTATCTGGTTTGCAGAAACATCTCTCCCTGTTTTGCATCACTGTTTTTGAGAGCACACTGTCCTTTGAATGCTCTTTTGTTGTAAACGTACCAGCATTACTATCATAACCTGAGGTTTCGTGGTTATTTTTCACTAAGGTTGTTCCATATTTAAAGGGACGAGTTCAAGTAGTTTTGGGCTACAGAAGGCTTGGTCTTGGGGACTCATGTTCTAAGAAACAGTAGCTTCCATTTTATTCATTCAGTACTGTTCTTATTTTAATGTAAAATAATATTTAAATGTTGCTGTGAAGATTCATGTTGTCTGTGCTCTTAAAAATACTTTGGAAGTGGGAGTTGTGGCTTGCTACTTTTGCAAACATTGTGAAAAAGAACTTTTACTTTTTCAGTGATGCAAAACACTCCACAATTTGGCACACTAAAACAATTGTACATTTAATGATGTTCTGAGACAATTTATTGTGCCGTCAATATAATTTCCAAGTGCCTGGAGTATAAAGAATCACTGTTGCCACATCTAAAGCTGCAAATTTGGTTCAGTCATCAGGTGTGAGATCATGTTGATTGAATTAGTGATAAACTTTTAGCCCTTAAAAAGTTTTGCATGCTTTTATAACAAATGCAGTCACATATTGGTCAGAGAAAATGTCTATAATAAAAGGAATATCTGAAAAATGTGGTTACAACATGTCTCTTAATTACTTCAAGACCACCTAAATTACATTGCCAATGGAAACTGATTCATTAACTGCTTGATTCACTCACAGTAAATTACAGAAAATGTTTTTATATTTCTTGTGCCAGTTTTCTATTGTCAATTTTCTATTGTTTTAGTTGCCAAGTTATTGTAATAAATAAAGATTACAATATGCTAGACTAATCACTTTCTATTACACAATTGGCAGCAATAATCTATAGTTGATTTGGAATGCAATAGGAGACTTGAGTAAGATAGGCGTTTTAAAATTTCATTTAAAATTATAAAAATGGTAGGATTTTAAAACTATTCAGCATTAAACTTAGTATTACAATACAAATACGTATAGACAAACTATTAGTCTTTTTAAGCTGTGCCCATATGCCTTTTAAAATTATACATTGACTTTCAATAATATAAATAACTAGCAGATCATTTTGGAACCTAATGACTTTTTTTTAGCAAACTGACAGAACTCAACTACAACTGAAACAAAATACAGAATTGTGCTACAGAATCAGGTGGCAGAATATCGCTTAAATCCAGAAACAGATACTGTGCGCTGATGATGCAGGTTATTTTTTTCTCAAACTCTGTCATTGATTTACAATAATCAAAATCTAAATATTAGTTGCAACTGACGAATACTGTAATGGTCTGCTCATAGATCTTATTCCTCTTGATACCTGAGCAGTGTTGACTAGACTATTCATTGATGTGAGGCCAAAGAAAATGAAGCTTCAAAGTTAGAAAGATCTTCCTTAGATAAAATATGGAAGTCAGGAGAACATAAAAACATTTGCAAAATAGGGGAGGCAATTGAGTCCATCCAGCTTAATGGGGTTTTATGGACATATTTCTCCAGGGCAGCTTATTCTGAAAATTCAACACGGTAAAGGAGTGTGAAACACATTAACTGTCCAAAGCTATATAGGCAAAAACTAGTGCATTGTCTACAAATCTTTCCCCAACACCGTAATCTTTTATCTTTTTTTTCTGGTATGTATACAGGAAATAATAATCAGATACATACAGAAATACACTGGACTCTGCTGTACTTTATAGGTTGGATACTTACTGTCATCGCCCAGCTTGGACATGTGCTCATGAATTAATTCTTCACCAACTTCCACTATTTGTTCACTGTTACGGTAATTTTCCTCTCTCCATTTCCTAAGCTTGTCCCGCATGTCTGTCAGAAAATAAAGAGTTAAAAGTTACAACATCTGAGATAAAACTAACAACCCTAGCTGATGAAGAACAGTAGAACTAGAGGCTTGGTGAATACTTTTCAATTTAGCCTCTTTTTCACAGCCTCCAACCTCTACATACTAACCACAATCATGTAGTTATAACTAGATTACCTATGTCTACTACTTTTACCCACAGAAACATGTTTAAACACTACTTAACAAATTAACCAGACTTATGCTGGATACTGTGGTATATCACGTTATAAAATGGCAATAGAGACAAATCTGAGCAAGATTTACCTAAAAATACCAAAGTTGTCCATTTAACACTGCAATGATTAATGGATACTACTTAATATCAAACAACTGCCCTTCTATACCTCATGAAGTATTTTATCCAAAACTACAACATCAGTAAAAACCGTCAGGAATATTTTGGCCACATAAAATGATAAAAGGCAGCCTAAACACAGCTAAATGAAATCACACAGAATTTGAATGATCATGAATTACGTGAAAAGAGAAATGCTTGAGAACCATTCCTAAAATCCAAAAATTATACTACAAACACATCGATGGACAAGTAGGTGGCACTCTCTCCTGTGGACCAGAGTTTCCAGCCCAGTGCCCCATCATGGTTACTGGTTATACTGTGCCATCATTCAAATGAGATGTTAAACAGAGCTGAGGTCCCATGGCACTCTTCTCTGGGCTTAGACAATCTGATCTACCTAAACAGCCCTCCTCATTCAGGAAGTGAAGTTATCTCTTACTTACTGAGCTGCTGCAGGAGCATAATGTCTGCCCTGTGAATCACCCAATCTCACCCTACTCATGGGTAGCAGGTGAAGTGGATCCTATATGTGCAGTACTTCTGAATGAAATGTTGATTTATGCAAATGCAAGCTTTGCATACAATAGGTAGCCATATTTTCCAAGGAGGAAACTTTCTAGATGAATCATTGCTGTGTAGGCACCTTCATACTTGAAATACACCTCATTTTGGTGAGATTTTGAAAATCTAATAATTATATTAATACTGGCAGCTGCCCTAAGAGTGCATCTGTAAAGACAGCTAGGCCTTCTGTAGAATTCATTAAAAATATGACTATGTTAGTATTTCCATATAACTGGAGGAGTCAGAAGCGTCCAGTAAAATAGGAAAACAGCAGCAGAACTTTTTGCAGAAATCCGTGTATATTACATTATGAGCACATCTAGGCAATTTCAAATTGCCAATTTTCTACTTTAGATGGAATAACATTTAAAACGTCATTTTAAGTATCATCAATATCCATTTAAAGCATGTTAAATATGGCTACAAGTTGAGGTTTTTCCCCCCACAAACTGTTTGATTTGATACAGATTGATTGAGCTTTTTTTGAATTAAACTGCAGTTAAGACAGATGAGAGGAGGTATTTGGATTTTCTTACCCTACAAAGTATTCCAAAGAAACACACCCCTAAGCCATTTTATTTTTTCTATTTCATTACATAAAAATGTTTTTATTAGGTTCCAAAGTTTGGAACAACAGCTCACTATAACATGTGATAAACAACAGCTACTAGGATACACTAACAGAATACCATTTAAAATCAGTGACAGAATTCACAGATAAAGACATGAACAGGCACACAACAGGATAACAACCTTACACCATAACCTTTTGGTGTTGTGATACAATAGTTCACAGGGCAAATTTACTATAAAATTCCAGGGAAAAGTAAATACAAAAATATTTTGATTAATACAGAAACGTGATGTATAGACAAGCTGCAACATTGAAAGGTGGGCGTGAAATGCCATATTCGACTTCAGAAAAATCCAAAAAGACTTGTTAAATATCTTTAAACTGTAAGACAGGTATTCTAGCATTAAATACAAACCAAGAATAAAAAAATCATTTACTGAATTCACCGAAAAAAATGATATACAGTGCTCAACGCACAAATAAGGAAATAAAAAAGAATTTGAAAATACTTTGTCTTGCTTTTGGTCTGCTGTTGTTTTTTGATGAAAATCTAAAGCTCTGTTCCGATAATATCAAGGCATGCACAATCAACAAAGGATGCGATTCAACCACAAATGCAATAACAAGTCTGACAACCAGCATCCTAGATTGAGTATAATATACCAAAATGTAGTAATGTCCGTTACATTTGTTCAGATTTTCTTTCTTTTCCAACAAACAAACTAATTTATTTTTACCTTCCCAGGTCACATCGTACAACTCTGAAACAGACGCCATGTTTATGCGCACACGTTATGACGTCATCAACGTGCGTATGCCGAGGGTCACGCAATGAGGGAGGTGATAAACGTGGTGCTGCTGGGAAAGTTCTCTGTCTATGGAGCTATATGGGACAGCGACGTGTGATTACTTTTGTGTTTGAAAGATACAAATAAGTCGTTTTTGCTAAAATATATGGTTACCAATATATACATTTGGAACCAGAGCTCCAAACACACATTGCAAGGCTATATCACAGCGCATTTCCATTTATAAAACGTGATAGCATTATCAAAGCAGGAATTCAACAATTACCTTGTAGTGTATTTCCTCCTGCAGTGATTCTCTTTTTCTATCTTACTCATTTTAGTTTCTTCTTATTTTATTCCAAATACAGTATATATCATTCTACACTGCTTTTCCCTATTTGAAATGTCTGCTTCATTTTTGTATTTCAGGGTTCAGATTTCACTTCGAAATGCATCAGTTGAAAAATGTCCTTTAAGGAACAAAGTATTTTTCAATTTTAGAATTATACTTCAAGCTCTAAAAGCTCCCCATCCCATTTTGTGTTTATTTTATTATAGACGGGATTAGCAGTTTATGATATTAATGGACACAAATACACTTAATTGGTTTATTATACTAATTGACACAGATACACTTAATTGTTTGTCATAAACTGACAGATTTTTTATGACTTATCTGCTTTTGATAGACTTTGCCTGGGCAGGACTTTGCTGGTTTTTTTTTTAAATGTCTAATTTGGGAATAAAAGCCTCAATCAGAATACAGGGTGTGCCCTGTAGCCTTGTTGCCAGAGGTCATGTCACAACGCCACTGGCCAACCTTAGTCATGAGCTCAGAGGGAGCAGTGAAACATCAAAATACCTCCTGTTTTAAGGTTAAATTGCAAACTCTATATTCATGGAATTCCCATCATGCAAAGATGTTAAGCAGTGATGACTATGTCACTCTCCGTCCTATCTGGAAATATTTTGATGGTTGCTTGGCTAAAAAGAAGAGATTAACTGGACAATACAGTGTCAGCACATACAGTCATGCTGGACCTCCACAGTGAGGAAAGCTCTCAGGCACCTAAATATCTCAATTCCACTTTCTCCCATTACATGTATCCTTGGTGATTTCTCAAAGGTTAAAGTAGCTATTCAATATAAAAATACTTTTTTGACTCTTTGTATTATTGCTAAGAAATAATATTGCGAAAACAGGTGGACTGTACAGGACCATCGTACAAAGAATGGAATAAAGAGGCTGTATCACAAGTTAAATTTGAAAAGTTTTCATATAATGTACAGGGGAAACTTAATGAGTGTCTGGAATGTTTGGGGTCCGTTAGAGACATACTTGAATGGCACTGGATGTTAAGAATATTAGTAGGAAGCTTTTGAATTAATATTTTCTTTTTGTGAATGTAAGATTTTTTTTGTTCTTGTCTAATATGAACAAAAATGAGAGAGTGGGAAAAAAAATAAAAATAAAGAAGTCCTCCGAAGTTGGGGGGTGGAGGTGGGTTAAAAAAAAAACTTGACAATGCAGGAGCTTCCAGGGGGCTGTACAAATGTTGTCTTAAACTCCCTGAGGCAAGAGCAAGGATTGTAAACTTCATGTACAGATTCTAAATTTTAAAAATGAAAAAAAGATGTGAGATACATTTCTTTGGAGAGAGTATCATACATCTGAAAATAATAAGTATGTGCGTAGTGCTTCTGTTTCAGTGATGGCTCAGAAATCATTGTGCATTGCTGCGGATTTTGTCTGCACTGCTACTTTGTTACGCACAGTTGAGGTGCAGTCAGCATATTTACGACAGCAGCATTTTTGGGAGATGATGTCATCCAACTGGATGCATTCAGACGTTTAGTTTAAGTCTTTCAGTACATTCTCGATACACTGCGCATTTGAATTGTTTAAGTAGAATGGGTTTTCATATGCAAGTATCACTATGGCCTAAAACAGAATGTGCTTGTCAATGGCCGACTAAAAGTGCACATAAGGATTTGAAAATGTCATCATCTCTGTTAAGGCACAAAAAATACATTATGTGTGGTTCATCTTAAGTTAAGCTTCAGTGATCCATAAACTTGTAATTTTAAAGTTCGCAGATGGCAGTCAGTCGATATGTGGTCAGTCTTGTTGGAAAACCAAACAGTGTGGGAACCACATAAAAATAAGCAAACGCTGCCCTTTGGGTAATAGGCTTTCTTTAACTGCCAGGGATGATATGAAAGAATTACGCGGCTCAAAACCTGCTCTGCAGATCTGACTCAAAGAATCAAGTTCCTGATGGACATGACCTGGTTTCTGAGATTTCACAAGCTGTCTTTAGACATATTCAGATTGTGAACATATTTGCCCATTGTTTATCTTGGAAGCTCTTTCCCGTGAATCCTGTCATGATAAAAGAGAGTAAAAGCAGCCAAATGAAAACAAAGTATTGCTCTTTGACTGCTGCTTACGTAGGTTTCCATGCACAGTTTTTGTCTCTGTATATTGTGAAAAGTGAAATAGGGCATCACTTTTAGATTCTGATCGAAATGACTCCCACTTCATGAAAAAAATGAACATTGATTAATGTGTTTCATTTCCTACAAACTAGCGGCAAAACTCTCATTTTCCATGATTTTAGCTTTTCATCTTTTGGCGTGGCCTTTCCTTTGTGTTATTAAAAGTGGAGTGCCATATTGAATACATTTTTAAAAAATATACAAATGAAGTTTATGCTCACTTCTCAGGATCTTCTAGTCTACTGAATGTGAATACTTGCACTTCTGGCGCTGCCTTCATGTTTGAGCAATGTTTTGCAGTTAATGTAGGTTTGATGAGCTATACGGTATACGAAGAAGTTCAGTCCAAATTCCCCTTAATTCCCTTACGTAGATATTACTGTGGTTAATGGTGGAACGTAACCATTCTGTTTCTACTCTGCATCGTGTAAGAATGCCAAAAACAATATGAATTCTCAAGGCATTTGTAAACAATGTTCCTCACTTGGGTCACGTTGTGGATATATTGCTCCCTGGATATCCTACATAGTGGTCAGATCTTTATTTATTTTTTTTCAGTGTATTGGCAGTAGTACTGCAGTAGGAACAGTTTTTCAATGGTTTGTGTTCTGCCTCATTAAAAACAATTTAAATAAGAAATCTAAGAAGAGTGATATATGCCATATGCATATGTGAGCTCCTAGACCAAAATAGACACGTTCAAGTTAACATAGTGGGCCTCTTGTATTTGACCTTACCTTGATGCTAATGATCCTCAACCCATCTCTGGAGAAGATAAGATTACGTCTTTTGTCCACGCAAAAGAACCTTCTGAAACTGTCACTATATGATAAAACATCATGCACATACAGCATCTAATTAATCAGCCGATACTGAAATCAAATATTAGTTAGAAATTCTGTGCTTCCTTAATCCATAAGCCGGAAATGTATATCTTAGAGCAAAGAAACTTGGGAAGTTGCTTTGAGAGCTTACTACATTGCATGCAATCATTCCAAAACTCAAATTTAATGGGATTGGCCATGCAATTTTTGGGCCTGTGCGTTCGTAATGGTTTGCATCTATGAGGGAAGGTCACACAGAGGCCAGAGAAAGTTTATAAAGGGAGCAGATGAATTTATTTTGGTTGGCATGTGTGAACCATGATGACCGTATGAGCTATGTTATGTTATAAATAAGATATAGTCTCTTTTTCATTATTCAACTTTATGCTTCCAATGTAAAACATTTGGCTTCTCCATAACAGACTGGGGCCTGTTTATGAGTCTCCCTGGAGTGTCTTCTCTAACCACCAGTTTTCATCAGGCTTCTACCACTCATATGCTGACTCAGTCAGTCACAAAATGTGGATGGTTCACAGTCTTAGTACTCAGGAGTCACGTTGCGTTTCATAACTAATTCCCTAATATGATATATCAATTATTCTAATAGCTGGACTGCAGTCAATGAGGAGCTTATTTCAGATTAATACAATAACATTACAAATATTTAAAAAAACAATAAGAGTGCATTAATTAAAAAACAAATTAAACCAAGTATAGAGACAACCTCTGTTCTGTGTGTTGTTGTTCTGTAAAGCACTTTGAGAAGCAACCTTTAAAGGAGCTATTTAAAATAAAGTTTATTATTATATTACTAGTATAAGCTGTCATTTATCTGTATTTCAGAAATGTTTCTTCTTTAATGAATGTTTCTTTCTTCACTATAACATTTATGTTAAGAATTGAATATGACACAAAGCTATGGTTATATCTTTCATTTCTAGAAATCATTGCTTTCCTTTGTTTTTAAAAGTAATTTTTTCCTAACTGACTCTCCCCACGGTGATGTAATTATACAACTGCAATTATTCTAAAAATTAAAAAAATCGTTATGGAAAATTATATCCCCTGATTGGAAGCATTCGCTAAATAGTATGATCTCAAGTTATCAAGTTTCACCTTTCTTTTCCAGTTAGGATTCTCAAGACCACAAAATGGAAATAGTAATGCAAGGCAGTCTATGAAATAGCATCTCTGCTCAAAACAGTTGCAGGAAGTGAAGAACAGACTCGATAAAAAAAGAAAAACAATCATAATTTAAAGAGTATTTTAGAAAAAAAGTTTTAGGGAGTTTACAAGTTCAAATTTCTGAAAAACTTGGATTTCATGTAATGTTTTGTTTAACAGAAAATTAAACAATGTGAATAATGCCCTAGATGCTTTTGGCTAGGTTTTTTAAAATGTATTATTTTGGCTGAAGAAGTGGATGAAAGAATTTGAAACATTGGCTTTTATTCATATACAGTAGGTGTTGCCACAAATTTGTTATTACTGAAATTGAATTGGACTTACACACATCAGGGAGAAAGACAGACTCGCCATCTTGCATGTTGCTCCTCGTCTGTATGTCTTTGTCTGTTTCGTGTTGTGGGCTTACTTTTAATAAGCATTTCATTACACCTGTGCCTGCTGTATGACAAATAAACAGAACTGAACTGGTGGCTCCCGGTGGCCCAATGCCCTAATAAAGCACTTTGCTGTTTCCTTTATTTTGG